GGGGGGCGCCGTCTGCGTGCGCGTCGACGCGCGTTATCTGCGCCGCGGGCCGCCTTTCCGGGAACCCCTCCCCCTCCCCTGGCTCTACGGGCACCTCTCGCCACCCGGGCCCCGCCATGGCATTCGCCACACAACGCTTCTCTCTGTGCAGTAAGCATTCTACACATCAACACGGGGGATTTTAATCATTTTTAGGGGTTTACTTTTCTACCTCTCCGGTACAACTAAACGCCTTTTGAAACATAAAACTTACTTCTATTCCATATTTGCCACACAGTCAATGCTTGACAAATAGCTCAAATCAGCGAGTTACTACAAACCAAAAGTCACCCCGTCATGAACATTCGATTTCAAAACCCAAGAAAGTGTCTGAGAGAACCCTTGGGTCTAACAGTTCTTATGAGAACCCTTGAGTCTTCCTTTCCAACAGATCCCTAAATGGACACACACGTATAATGAAAATTTATAAGATGTATCGAAAGCAACATTTATATAGTTAAAACCAGTGAAACTGGAGGCTATTACGACATTTGAGTTATCTTCGAAGAATTGCAAAGTCCGATTAATTAAAATAAATCCTAGAAATTATGCCGCATTTCCTATGTGCCCGTGTAAAACTTTTTTAAACTTTGAAATTGTAAAATAAAAATAAAAACACAAAAACTTTGATATTTTTTTTCTGCTGAATGTTCACGTTACACCTCAGGAAAGGGAAATACACCAATATTTAATAATTGCGGTCCAAAGGGAGCGATGCGTCGAATACACATTTAAAAATAACCATTCCCACATTGCGTTGTGTGAGCCGTTTAATACAAGCGAGTTGAAATTTGTTTACAGTAGCTTATCCGCTTACATTAATTACGGCCAACAGGAGAGTAATACACCTCCTTCAATCCATAATTTGCCCCGCGGTCACAGTCCCCAAGCCACGGATGGCCAGCGTTGCCTGCTGCCCTCCGGGTCAACCACCGCCAGCCCGTCAAGCGCAAGTGCTTGGAATTTTCGCGCGTCGCCCCCGCCGCTTTCCGCGCGCAGGGGCAGTGGGGCGCCCACGGCGTCCGGCCTGTCGCTCGCCGCCCACGCGCCGCGCCGCGCCGCGCGGCCTGCCCTCCCCGCCCTCGAGGCCCCGCGCATTCCCACGCGCACGCGCCCGGCCCCGCCCCCTCGCCAAACTTCAGCTGCGGTTCGCCTCCGGGCGCAAGAGCCGTTAACCAACCTCACTGCTCGTGTGCTAGCGTACATGCTACACAGCACTCAATGGAGTTCCAACAACACACATTACTACGGAGTACTATAGAATTATTGGTATTTGCACTCTTTGCAAATTTGTAATTATCGGCACAGATTTTGACTCTCATTCCTTTTGCTGTCACCTTGTCTTCGCCCCTTTGTGAACAGCTCCTACATAGTACACAGCTCGTTTCCCACAATCGATAGATATCCCGGAACTATTATAACTATGCATGTTAGGTCTTGTTTGTTTTTACTTAGCTGTACTTTTCACATTATATGCATTCCTATGTATGTAACATTAATATCTCTGTATAAGTGCTATAAAACTCTGCCACCGAGCGAAAGCTCACTAGCAGAAAATAAATATTATTATTATTATTATTATTATTATTATTATTATTATTATTATTATTATTTTGGCCCAAATGAAGACATACAATATAGGTGGAATACTTCTTTCGTTTGCACGAAGTTCAAATTCTTAAAATCCATTGCAGATTTTTTTTTCAAATATTTTTGTACAAGTGCAGTCCACTGAATTTCAAATTGAAAATGTGAATTATTTGTAAATTTCTAACACTGCTCGTTTCCCACCACAATGTTTTATCTGACCTTATCGCGAAGAACAATTAAGCACTGCACGCTGTTTAGGCCAGATTCACGATTAAAACTAGTTAAGAATAATTATTTCTCTCGTTTGTATTTCACAAGAACATTGTTTATGACGTTGTAATGATAATATTGTTTCCTGCTCAAATTCAAGACCAACGTGCGATAGTTTCAGAGGTTTTTTTTTTAAAAAAAGATGATAGATTCTTAATTACTTGAACTGATAAAACGTCACTTTACCGGCTGAACGCGATAACTGAAACCACAGCGTCGGGAGAGAAAAGACAAGAACGTCAAGGGATAGGAGACGTTTTCTACGAAAGCAAACAATATGAGAGCTCCTTTAACTTGTTTTTCAATGTTAAAAGACGTGTCGACTCAACGGAAAGCAAGAGATACCACACAGAAAGGAAAAGAACAGAAGTGCAGAAAGGAACAAGTGCGAACAGCACCACTGAAGAAACCGAAATGCGTAGGGGATCTCTATTGTCCGATTTAAAAATGACTTGACAGATCCTCAGCTGGACGCGGTTATTCATCCAGGAGCTTCGTTAAGACCAATTAATGAAACAAAAACTCCCGATTGGATAACCGCGGCACAGCTGATGATCCGTCTCGCGTCGCTATATTTAAATCGGACAGCGCCCAGATCCCAGCACTAACTCAGTCGACGGCGGTGAAAATTCGCGAGCGCCGCGGGTCGCACTGCGGCGCGGCGCGGCGCGGCGCGGCACGTGGTTCGGGTTACAATGCGCTGCTTGTCTCACCGGCGGCGCAGGGCGCGGAGGGAGGCGCGGCGACGCGTGGCGCGGCGCGGCGTGGCGTGGCGTGGCGTGGCGTGGCGTACCGCACCACGTCGCAGTCGGCAGAGGAAGTGACGGCCGGCGACGCGAGGCGAGGCGAGGCGAGGCGGCGACGCGCTGGAAGTGGGTTACGCGGGATATACTTAGCCGCGCGCCGCTCGGTGCGCGCATTAGGCGCGCGCCAGCCGCCGCTGGACACGCCCGACCCGCGCGCCTCCCGCGCATCCGCCTCTCCAAAGACGCTCGCGCCATCACCTGCCGAAACGCCTTCCCTCCTGCCTTCCGCGTTTTGGGCTATCGAAGCTGAACGCCAAATTAAATTACTGCAAACTACGTAAGGGAACCAGTACCAGTACCAATTTTGGGGGTACCAGTAACAGTACCAGTCGGGCCGAGATGATTAGAAGGTGTACTGGCTTTGACCGACGGCCGCGGGATCGAATCTCTCCAGACAGTAATTCGTTTTCACAGAAAACCTCAGACTCAGGGCAAATACTGTCTTTTCTTTACTTGCCAATTGAATCTTTTATTTCAGAAACCCGTCAAACGCCATATTCAATTCTAGAAAACTGACAAAAAAATTACCCAATTTTTCCGATTTCAAATTATTTTTATATTTTAACTCAGTTGATAAATGAATATTTTTCATATAAATATGCAATATACGATGTGTTTATCCTCTTGGAACAATAATCCGCAGCTAATGTGTATTTTAGATGTTGGCGTTTGACGGGTTTTTGAAATGAACTACTCAATTCCGATCGTCTATATAAATATTAGTTATATCGAAACCGAAAAATGAAGCTGCGGGAAAAAAATCCACGAACCAACGAGATTTTTTTGACTAATCATCTAACCTAAACATGATTGAACTGCTAAATGTTAGTTTACTATTCAATCATGAATGGTAAGTGAAAAATTTGAACTTTGGAATCAGCTGAACTGTCAGCCAATGAACAATGAACTGAAATTACGGGATTAGCGTGCCCGAAATTAACCTAGTGGTATCACTGGCCTTCATAGGTGAACGTACGAAAAACTTATTTCTTCTCTGGTAGAAAATAATTACGGGTAATTATTTTCTACCAGAGAAGAAATACGTTTTTCATGTTAGACTAATGCCATTTTATCTTTTTTCCCGATTGCGCGAAGCATAAAGGGGAATTATGTTTTCATGACGAGGTATCTGGGTTCCTTTGTTACCACCTATAGTCTTACAGATAATACTAATATTCTTATATGACGCGTGCTTACATCCGCCTTGACAGCTTGCATGTCACATGCTATATATATAAAGTACGCAAAAATTCAATATAACTAACTCTAGGCACCATTTCCTTCAAGTATTAGTCTGAGAGGTTTCATAACTTTCCGTATGTTAGCTATGTATAAATTCAAATTGATGTCCTGCATGTCATAAGCTATATAAATTCATACCTGAACATTACATTTTTTTAATGAGGTGCAGTCGGGTGATGTTTATAAACCTTTTCTTCTTTTTTTAAGGAAGATTTAACCAATTTTTCACGCGGGGAACATGTATTAAAAATGTAATCTACAGAGATACTTTTGAACTGCCACCGCGCATAGGAGCTCAGAAAAAAAAGAAAAAAAAAAGGAAAGAAAAAGAAACTATGAAGGTTTTTGTCCCACTCAATTCTTGCTACGACCCTGAAACATGTTCGACACGCCAACTATTCACTGTAACGCGAAGGCACTGGCCAGTACTCTGCTTTCGCAACGGCATTGAATTCCCAGATTACGCGTTTGGTGGTCTGCCAGCCCGATAAGCATCACATTTCCAGAATCACTAGAAACTATTGCAGGCCGCTGTCACAGTTAAGCATGTAGGGAGCAACCGTCCGTTGATGTGCATGACGTTTTCGCCTTTTGCCCACATGTCGCCGACGGTGACGCGCTCACATCCATCAACAGTGCATATCTACCGATTACACGTCCGGCGGCGGGGGCGGCGGCGGCGGGCGCGGGCGCCTGTCGCAGATAGCACCAGCCCTCCTCTCCTCTGCCCGCCCCGCACCGCAGATGTGGCAGCCCTTCGGAAGCTAAGTAAAAGGCGCGCGCGCCCGCCGCCGCCGCATGGTAGAGAAGAAACTGACACAAACCGCTCCCTGTGCACACAACACTACGTGCGGCCCTTCTGTATCGTTGCCGATCGTCCCGACCGAAAATAACCATCCCTCGCTAGCCCATCCTCGAAGGCTCACTCGGCAACTTCGCCAACACCTTCGGCGTTGTGCCTCGTAGAGCCTGCTATTTGACAGCGCAGGCCCGCGCCAAGCGACGCGAGCCGGGCGCGCTTCCAGCGTCACCCAAAGTGCCGCCGCGTTTTCAGAAAACCAGAAGCCACCTCCGCGACACAAAATAGCGACGTCCGAGAATTACCCGCATATAAAAACTTAAGTGGTCTGAACGAAAGTGTCTCCGCGCGCGCGGCCGCCCGTCGCCTGACACGCGCTTGAATGTGAGCGGCGCGCGCAGCGACGGCGCGAGGCGAGCGACCAGACAGACCAGACAGACCGCATGCCACCGCCCTTCGACAGCCGTCACGCCGGCTCACGCGACGGAACGGGGGCCGGTCGCCAGTGTTGTCCAGCGCTGTACACAAAGCTGGCAACAGGGCTCTCAAGGCAAAAATTTCTCTCCGCATCTCTCCAATTTTCCTCTAGTAAACATCATTTTTCTTGACCATCGAATAACGTCACACCCAAATACACCACTCCATTAACTACACAGTGCAGAACAGTATGTGGACGACATAGTTTACCGAAATTACGAGTCGCTGAATAACAAGCTGCCAGCGTTCAAATTTTTAAATAAAAGTAAAAATATTACTTTTCCAAATGACCATCGATTGCTATGAAAGTCGGATCATTTATAAATGTCGAAATTTTTGAAGTAAATCCAATAAAGGTAATTTGTTAGCAAAAAAATAGCTTTTGAAGTTTTTTCTTGACATTTTCCCACTTTATTTATTTTCCTTTAAAGCTTCCACGTTTAAATTCCCTGGAAAGATTTCCACGAGTGCCATCACCGTTCTCTCTTCCGCTTCGCCAAAGAGACAGAAAATACTGAAGGCTCAAACGTAGAAAAAAGCGATTAAGAATAACTATATAAAAGAAGAAAAAAAAAAGCGTATGAAAAAGTGTCTCTAGCAATTACTCTCAATCGGAATTTCCGACATGTCACTCCCAGTCCAGCACGTATCCATCAAGCAGGAAAAAGGGCTGTCTTGAGCAACGAAAAGGGAGTTGCACTAGGGTAATCTCGGTTTAAAAGGGACGTGTGCACACTTCCTCGATTATACAGAGGCTGCTTAAGAACTGCCATGCAAACGCCCCGAGGGCGGGCGTGCTGGCACGCAAGTCCTCTGATCCTCGACGCAGTGCTGCGGACTCGCAAATGTAGAGTAAACGCAATTCCCGCAGCTTGAACCCGGAAAAGAGTAGAAATACTTAAACACAGCCGGTATTCACCATTACTGCGTTGTGGAGGGAGACAGTACGTAACCATCCAGTAGAAGTGAAGGGGCCCTTCACACTGTGAAGGAATCTTAAGATTTCCGTACCATTGGAAAGAGTAAGAAACTTTACCACTCTCCCCAATTCCAATCTTGAAGGAACATTTATATTGCTACCAAAAACAGGAGACAGGAAAAGAATTCTCTATTCTTCTAACTCTAATTGTGAAATACAGAAATACATAATTTCGTTAGTCCAAACAACTGTAGATCCAGTACGAATAACAATTAACAAAATTTCAACACACTACCCAATACACAAAGCATTTAACATGAATTACCGACTTGTTTCATTAGTTTTAAATAGAGATAATTATTAAAGTTACGACATATTGCATGGCGAGAAACTTTCCTTGGTCCGGGCCTCCACCTCCGCCGCCGCAGTTGCCCGCTTTCCGCTCCGCCAAGCGCCCGCGCCGGGTCCTCGGCGCTATTCTGGGTGCGCGGCGCGGCGGGTGGGTGGCGGCGCGGAGGCTGACGGGAGAGGAGGACGGCGGCGGTGGCGGGCGGGCGGGCTTGCGGACCGGGGCGGGCCGCGCCGCAGCGGCCCGCCGATCGGAAATCAATCCCTCGCAAAGCAGCATCGCGCCTCCACAGCCAGCCGCTGGGCGCGGCACCGGCGCGGGGCGGCCAGTGCGGAGGACGAGCTCTGCAACGCGCCTCGCCTCACACCCCTCTCCACTCCCACCCGCGCCCACGCGGCGGCGGGCGCACCTTGTTTCATAATAAATTCGCCGTCGAAATGAGACTACCCGCCGCGCCGCCTATATTTAGAGGCAAACGCCCAGCGGCCCGCCTGGTGGGCGGCTGCCGTGGAACCGGCGCGGATCCAGCGCGTTGTTCGCCACCGGCCGCCCGCGTCGCCCCGCCCCGCCCTCCCCGCCTCGCAACCCCCCACGCCACGCCAAGATGCGGCGCGCCGCGGCGCGCACAACGACCGGGTCCGCGAGGCGCGCGGCGGCCGACCCGGCGCGCGCGGCGCGGCGGGCGCGGCGCTCCGGAAACCGGGCAGAGGCAGGCCCGGCAAGCGCCCCCACTCACGCCGCGGACACTTCCGCCCCGCCTCCAACTACACGTTTTTTTTTTTACCTTGCACGCCGACGAACAAAAGCAATACGATACCTCTGAATTCAACGTGAAACACCTTTACATCATCATTTTACTAAAGCAAGCGCTCCGGCCCTTCCCAACCACGACGAAGCGGCCCTTCCCAAATGCGACGAAGGAAGCCAAATCTCGATAGCCAAGCGCGATCTCGTCATTCCGCACGGGCCGCTGTACTATCTGGTTCAATCTCCGCGATCATTTCATTGAGACATGTGAATAAAGATGCTACTCGTTTTATTTCATGTTTCATCTTATGTGATCCAAACCTATATCCATACTACATTCATCTGTTTTCGCAATACCGTCATTAATTAAATCCCTATACACAATGCGAATATAAAAATACCTTGTATAACACACCCGTGGGACAAGCAACACATACTTAACTCTAACAGACACGCGGTGAACTTTTACACAATGTATTATTATTCACTGAGAGTAATATGGCTGGGTGAATAATATGAGAGGAATATTGAAAGACCACGACAATGAGAACATAACATTTTACTCAATGTCTGCTATTTTCAACAAGATTCTACATTAAATCACACGACTAAATTAATTTTAGCATAATCAAATATTAGAGCTTATTAATACATCACTTATTAAATATTATTATTCAAAATCAAAATATATCTTCATTATTGTCCGCAGCATATTGGGTGAGAAATATCTTTTTTCGAAAGCCACTTAATAAAATATTTTGCAATTTGCATTAGCATGGCAACTACTTGAAAAATATTTTCACTGACTTTCCAGAACGTCAACGTTTATTAATAAAATGTTAAGAAAAGAAAAAATATACAGCGTAGGGGGGGGGTGTCTGTAAATTTAGCGTCCATAGTCTAAAAGCACGCAAGGTGCAATTATTTTTTATTTTGCAAAATAGTTTTATTTGCAAAAATACACGGATAAAATCAAAGCTCTGCTATCTTGCGTACGAATCATCATTTAGCAGCTCATTATCACTTACCACACTCGCGATTTCCGACTCAAGCTTTTACAACAATGAAGAGAGATTTCAGTACTTTGAAGCTTATAAGGCGGTTATTGCACAGAAATGACTCTGACAGAGATATATGAGCCAATTTCACTTGTCCACGCAAGAGTTGTTACACAAGAGTATGACCTTCAGGCATCATGCCAAAGGTACATTCACACGTTGGGGGGAAACAGAGCAGAAGAGTAGGCAAGGTGCGATGGTTTGTCGCCGATACTGGGGCGTAATGAACTAAAGCACGGAGTACGAAAGGGAGTGCGGATGAGAGTAAGGCAGATACAGAATCTGGAAATGGGCAGTACTAAAGATTTCTATGTTGGGCAACGCGAGGCCACGCTGTTTATAGTATTTCTTGCCTTCTTCGCCAAATTTCTCCCAAAATTCCTGAAGTGTTTAATTCAGAAAA